CTTCTATTCTATTCTATTCTATTCTATTCTAATTAGCATTGTACAGATTATCTCCCAAACTTTTGAAATCGTTGCTATTTAAATTACAGCTTCTATTACTTATCTGACTAAAACAGTGGTTTAAACATGAATATTGACTCGGAAGACAGATTATTTTTGCCATCGGTCTATCTTTTTCCTTACTCTGTTTAAATTTTTTGTTTCACGATACCAAGTGGCGGGACGAACAATATAATGCGCCTGCTGGTTATCGACACGCCTGTCCATAGCAGTGCAACTCAGACCTTTAAATCGCAAAGATCCGAGTTATACTACCACCGCGCCTATGAACCTGAGACTTAAGTTAACAAGTCTCATGTGCCTGTAATTTCACTAGGATCCTTACCCTTCAAAACTGAAATTACATTACTGATTGGCGGTAGAAGTAAGGAGCTCTACTACTACAAAAATTGTTAATGGACAATTGTATTTTGCGTTATTGTACATAGCGTTCAAATTCACGTGTTACTCAACGTAAAAAATTGTTGATACAACTATAATATAATCGATTTGTGACCTCGGCATCCTGGTTTTCGTCCTACATTCCAGATTGTACATTTTTAATTGCAGCAGCGAAACAACTCTAGAATGTAAGAATGGATTAATAAATCAGTACCTCCAATGACCGGTGGACCTGTTTTGTTTTTATATTAGTAAATAAATATGGCTGTTTACAAAAATAACAGAAAATTACCAAAAAAATAAAGATAGAGTAGTGTTCATTGGAGGTATCAAAATGACTGGTGTTAGTATTAGTATAATGTATATTATATATGTATGGTATGACTGTAGCAGGATGGTTGTACTGTATTATATGGAGGATAAGATATGCTCCACCACCTATGTTGAATAGAGGTTCGGGAGCTGCAGACGTCCTTAATAAATTTTGCGGTGCACGGATAAACCTGAGTAGGTTTTTGTTGTGCCGCCATGTTTAGATTAATAAGTATCCTTTTTGTAAAATTTTTAATAAATAAAAGTATATTTTTTTAAATTAATAATTATGAGAAATTAGTGAAGTAATTTATTAATTAATAAAATAAAAATAATTAATTTTTGATTTTTCAATCAAGGCGACACATCGTCAAAACATTCAATAAAAAATTACAATTATTAAAGCGACATCTCTTGTCAGAATGAAGAAATAGATTTCTCACAGATTTCGCACATAGAAAAATTCGTAAGCTGCTCTAGTTTATTCTGTGGCTTAGTTGACGTAGCGTCTGACACGATTTGCTAGAAGACATTTCGAATCCAGCGGGATCGAAGGTAATTTTTCCTTATAAAACATCGTGACATTCAATAAAAAACTTTAAAAAAATTACAAGATTAGCGCAATTGACATTTTGTTAGGTGACATACTTTACGTGCCGGTATCTCCAAAGGTAATTGCAAATGTGTTAGTCATGACATAAATACTAAATGACCCATTTGAAATTTGTAATGAGATATGCAATGAATATTTTAATGGAGGTGCATTGACTTCAGTCAGATTTCGGCTGCGTCAGATAAAAACGCGCTCCATATAAAATACATCTTACTAAACTGAACGCTTTGTTGGAGCAAGATGACAGGTGGGATTTGTGGTATTTATGATTCAACATATCGAAACAGATTTATAAAGTAAGTGTGAGCGGGCAAGTTGGTAAGAGCCGACTAAGGCGAACATACACGACCAAATTGAGGAAGTCCCAAAGAAAACCCAGGTCAAGAGTACCCCTTAACGATATGTGTCAGGGTCGTCGCAAGTGAAAGAGTGTGTGATTTTTAAGTACGCATTTGACCTCCACCTCACCTGATGGAAAGTGACGATGAGGTCAACGATGGAGAATGCACAGGGAATCGCTTCGTGTAAATCTTTGGAATATCCACAACATAGGGGTGGAACCCAAGCCTACGCCTAATCCCCCGGTAATGGAAAGGGGAAGGAGGAATTATATCGTGTAATTCCATCGCACACTCTCCGTGATATATCCCGTAAAATACCGATAAGCAACGAATTTTACGGCGGTATTCAAGGTTAAGCAGTTTCGCAACTACTAATTCCGAGTCCGAACAAGTGGTACGCCTGGTGATAGGCGACATATCTATGCATGAAAATTGCAGTGCAACTCAGAGCTTTAACTCGCAAAGATCTGAGGTGTACTGCCATTGCGCCCGTCACCCTGAGGACATATGCACACGATTTCCGAAACCGAGATTATACAAATCTAGAAAACTCGGACCCACTTCGGATTTGGCTTGTGCACTAAGTCCCATTCGAATCCGAGAAAATACGCACCTAGAGAAAAAATGATTCCTGTGACATTTCGGACCGTCTTTTCTCGGATTCAGAAACTCGTACGAATTGGACGTTGTCAAGTGCCTGTAATTTCACCAGTACCCTTATCCTGCTTAGTGGCAGAAATAGATAAGGTGGCAGTAGGTACTACCCTGGACGAACACTTTCACAAGCTGTGCTGCTATCTTTGTATTATTCAAGAATACTTTGCAGTTTAGGCATCAAACCTACGATCTTCTAAATAGAAGGCCAACGGTCTCATCACTAAGATATAATCGTTTTTTTATTTACTGTAGTGATAAGAATACAAAACATCAGATAACGAGTACCGTGTAATAGTTACAATTGCATGAAGTAACATGTACGTATACTGTACTGTTATTTGTTGTCGCAGTTATTTTACTGTGTTTTATGTGTACGTATTTTACCGTTATCCGTGAGCAACAGAGCTTGTAGATGTCACAATGGTATGGGAATTAACTGTGATTGAAATTGTATGATACAGTAATTTATATTTTACTAAATACACTTATGAGCATGTACTTCATTACTTAGACCGGTAAGGTGACCCAAAAAAGCTTATTTCGGTCTTATTTCGGTCTTGTCAATAATCTCAGTGCTGAGTACTAAAAAATAGTCATCAAAAGTCATTCAGCCCCTAGTTTACCACCCTTAGAGGTGAAATATTTTCTTCAAATTTAAATGGAACCACTATTGAGCCCTCTTTCGAACAAAAAAAGAAACTTCAAAATCGGTTCACACCGGAGTTATCGCGTAACATATATACAAAAAAAGAATACAGACAAATTGAGAACCTCCTCTTTTTTAAAGTCGATCAATGATTTATTTGTGAACCAATTTTAATGATTCTTTTTGATTTTTTGTTTCATTGTGCAAACTGTGATATAACATACTAAGAAACCACGTACATTTTGGAAAGTTTGTTTCTCGTATTGGTTTCATCGGGAATCGAACCCGGGACCTCCTCAACAAGTGCCCGTATTGCTAACCGCTAATAGTTAAAATGACCCTATAAAAATTTAGCAACTCTTCGGGGTAAAGATTTGTAGACAGTGGCAATAATGGGCCGCTCTAAAGAAACATGTACACAGGCAAAAACATCTAGAAAAATGCTCACGAATCTACGTGACTAGAATTATTAGACAGTCTGGAATAGATAAACAAGACGCTGAGGTCTTTATCTACCAGACTTTATTATTATCTAGATTATCTACAAACAAGTTATCCTTAAAAAAACCCTTCTTACAAAATTGAAAATACGTCGTTTGAATTTATTTAACGAACATTACTAGTAAATTTCAACTTTTTTTTATTAAAAAAACCGACCTGAAAAGTTGGTGGACTTACAATTTATTTGCCAAGTTTTATTGCAATCGGTTACCGGATAGTGTGCGATACCGGATTCATCTCCTAGTTTGACACCCTTACAGGTAGAATATTTTTTTTTAATTTAAATGGCACTAATACTAGGATACCCTCTTTCCAACAAAAATCGTCATCAAAATTATCAAAATCGATTCATAACTGTGAGTAATCGTATAAAATACATTTAAAAAATACAGAATTGAGAACCTCCTCCTATTTTAAAGTCGGTTAAAAATACCGTAAAGTATAATTTAATACTAGTTACAATTTGACAGTTACAATGTGACTCTCCAAATAAAGAAGTTATAACCCAATAACCTCAAAAAGACGTTGCCTCTCGAAACACCAACGAATGGCCGAACTTACTTTTGTCCTACATTCTTAAAAAGGACTTAATATCATTGGGTTAATTCTTGGATCTTCAACAACCCATTTATACGTCCCACAGCTGGGTAAGGGTCTCCTCTCAGGAGGCCATAGTCCGCCACGCTGGCCCAGTACGTGTTGGAGACTTTACTTTTCTTCGTCGTACATGTTTCAATATCGACGTTTTCCATCACGGAAAAGCTTATTGTAAATTTCAAATTAAATATTATATATTAATTGATAAAAATCTAGATTGAGAGAATATTGCTTTGCGTTTGTTTATCGACCTTTTTGAATTATCTAAAAATAAAAATATAAATACGCCATCCCGGTCCTCGCTAGCTTCAGTATGTGACTTTTTGGTCATGTCTGAGAGAGATGTAAGATGTTACTACGCTTTCAAAAAGATATATTTACGATTAATCTTCATATAACCGACTTCAAAAAAAGGAGGAGGTTCGCAATTCGACTGCATTTTTTAAAATGATTTCAATCATTTTTTTATCTGTTAAAAAGAGTATATCAGCAGTGGATCCATTGAAATTTGAAGAAAATTAGATCGATACCTCCAATGAGCACAACGACAATTTTATTTTTTGGTAATTTTCTGTTATTTTTGTAAACAGTCATATTTATTTACTAATATTTTGCTCTCCGAATTTTGAGAAGAAAAATAAAGAGACAAAATACTAATTTCGCCAAAAACAACAAAATAAACACAGAACAGGTCCAAAAATTAAGTTGTCGTAGTGTTAGAGTGCACATTGCGTTATTCAATCTCAATAAAATTATTATCTCATTAATTCGATCACGAAAAGGAAAAGAAATTGCAAGGACAAACAGTTGACCAGGAGAGTAATGATTTGGCCTCAACTTTTTAGATACACTTCGAGCCACCCCACTTTAAAAAAAAAGAACTCATAAATACCTCTGATAGAATTAGCCGCTTTCTTATCCATGAACATTCCAGAAATGGAGGATCCAAAATGTCCGTCACTGCTTCCAGGTGGTGGTGAGGTACTATCCGCCACTGATGCGGACGTTATGTCCTGCAGCATTTGACCGTGCATTCCGACAGGGGGGACATCCGGTTCCCTTTTCAACTGCATGCCCTGTGGCAGTTGGCCCCCCTGATGAAGCATCGTCGACGCTGAGGAATGACCCCCGTGCTGGTCGGGGGGCCATTGCGACCCGAATAACTCGTGAAACTGATTATTCATTTTTCGAATGTCTTCTTTTTTTAAATTTAAATTTTTTAAGTTATTTGTATTTGCAGCCAATTATATTTTTGAATTGCGAATTGAATTCGCATTTCTGTTTTTTTTTTTATTACAATAACTGATTTTTGGTGTTTTCTTTTTAATTTTATATTGTTGTTCGACTATGTCGGTAAGGCAGTTTTAGTGATTACCATATGAGTTTAGGAAAAACTTTATGGCACCATCCAATATTTATGTCAACTTTGTTGATCTTTCTTTATGTCCACCAGTTTTTAACTGATGAATATGTTCCGTCCTAACGGTGATGTAAGATTTCTTTTAGCGAAATTTATTTCTGGTATTATCTTTTTGAAGAGCAACAGTTTTTTTGGCATTTTGTCTCCGTGACTGTTTTTTATTTGTTTCCTTCCGTCTTAAAATATTTCTTCCATAAGGCACTGTTTTGTTTTTTTTATTGTTAATTCACTTGTTCCCGTATACTTTTTTCAAGTAAGAAAATCTGCAAAAGGAAAACGAGAGCAGAAAGAAGAATTGAAAGGTATTTTCCGGAAGAATTGTTTTTTAATGCCAATATGTTAAAAAGACTTTAGCCAATAGAACTCTAGGCGTTCAATTATCTAAAATCGTATTCGAAATTACACGTCGAATTTTTTTGAAATTTAAAGTTTCGCTTATTTAAACGTCACCACGTTCCATTTGTGTAAAAATAATCCTGGTCACTTTTCCACTCAAAGGCACTGTCACTTAGTTCACCTCACTATAAAAGAAGATGGGTTAAAAATTTGTACGATTAATTTGTACTATATGTGCACAACTCCGGTTACGGGATACTGGCTGGATGTTGCCGCCCGGACGGTCGGAAGCAGACTGGCGGCCGACGAATCTTTAGCCCGGGTTCACGAAAAAATTATATATTTTTTCATTCGGCCCGAATAATCAACTTAACTCATAGTGATAGTTCAATGCCTCAAACACGACATAGCATTATTCCTTTATCAATCAAAAAACATCTCTATCAGCGTCACCAAAAACTATACTCCTAACCTGTCAAAAACTTATTCGAAATTCGAAATTTCCCACAAAAGGACCTAAAGGTCCGTAACAAAATACAAAGAAATAAGGTTGAAAATCGTGCAAAGAGCTTCTGAAGGCGTTGTAAGCCGTCCGCGTGTGAGTGAGTCAATGTCGTGCACGGACACGACGTAGCGCGCACACGTCGAGACAAGCGTCACCGCAGGTCGTTGAACCGAGTACCCAAACAGTGAATTTCGGTGAAAAGTTGTTGAACTCCATCGACGATTACGTAGTTCAGAGACATGCAAAAATTTTGCCAAATATTTTTTCATTATTTCTACACAATCAGCACGTTTTTAGCCTCGTAGAGTGTCGTTTTTTTCTTCATCTCTACATGATCATTTAATATTAGCAAGAAATATCACGTTTTCGATTAATAAAAACCTTTTTAAAAATCATAGTGAGTCTAGGAATTAAGGCAAGTGTCAAAAGGTCAACGACCCCGGAAAAATACATTGATCCTTAAACTTTGTTTGTTGCTCTTTTCGAATATGGAATTTCTTTTGTTTTATATAGTCTCACGTCTCTATTTAAGTTTTCTTTTTAATTTTTAATTTTATTTTGACAACTGCATCTGGCAGTCTCTTATCTTTCTTTATTACAAGTTTATTACCTACATGAAATATTTTTTTTCTAAAGTCATTCGTTCCAAATTTAAAATTATATTATTAGAAGAAGTAAATATTTTTTAATTATATTTATTTACCGTGAAAAATAGAATGTCACCTTCGTAACTTCAATTTGAAATTGTGTCAAGTTTTCAGTTTGAAGTAAAAGTGTCACTATAACATAAAAACATTGGTTTGATAGTGCAAGTTCTTGATGTGTTTGTAGAGGTCATTTCAATGTTATGTAGCTGGCAGCAAGCTGCGACTTGTAAGCAGAAAGTTACGGGATCGACTCCCAGACAGATGATTGAAATAACTGATTTTAATTTTTACTCAATTTCATTTATATGATTAAATTAGTTAGAGAACACATACAGTGCACTATTGAACTTAATAGCCTTTTAACGAGTTTCATATTGTATAGAGGTGTCTCAAGCCAAAAATCTTCCACTGTTGGTCACTTGGACAACACAATGAAAAAAAAACCACCCTGAAAAAGATCCTTCGAAAAAAATCGATGCAAATAACCCCAAGAAGGCGCCGACCTTGTGTCAGAGGGAGAGTACCGACGTGACGTTTCAATTCCTCCCCCTCCTCTCTTTCTAACCGATTGCGGCAGGTCAACGACCTATTGATTTTTGACCACGTGGCAAACTTTCGATGTTAACATTAATTAATCGTGTCATGTGAAGCAACTATGACATACATAAATTCATGCCATCACGCATGGGGTGGACAGAGACTACGAACGTCACCTTGCTACGATATCATTATACATGTTTGACTTACAATACATATTTGTCATCACGTCTTTTTGCAGGGTAGGTAGAAACTACTGATCTCAACTCGATGCGATCGTAATACAGATGTTTGATTAACAAACAATGCATACATATTTTAGTCAAATACTACGGATCTCGACTTGATCCAATCCCCAAACAGATCTACGACATAAAAAATACATCACGTCTGTCTTTCCACGGGGTAGGCAGAGGCTACGGATGTCAACCAGCTACGATCCTGATACAGATGTTGATTTACAATACTATATTATCAAGTGCTTTGGCTTTCCTGCAAATGGGGTAGGCAGAAACTACAGACTTCGACTAGTCACGATCCTGTTACCGATGTAAGTCTTACAATACATACATAACATTTCTTATCAGGACACCAATGGGGTAGGTAGAGACTACGGACCTCAGCTTGCTACTATCATCACGCATGTTTACCGATAGGGTCAGCAGAGGCTCAAGGACCAAAGCTAGGAATTCGTATTTAATCTAATTTTAATAAACTTTAAGCCGTCTCGTCTGTCTATCGTTTATCTCGAATCTCATTTGATAAGACGGTGCAACAGGAGGATAATGCTTTAAAAGATGATATTTTGAAAGATAAAGCTGTAAAAGATAAAGAATGTTAACGTATCGATAAAGAATTTAAACTGCCTCTGTGGCCGAACGGTTACCATACCGGACTGCCACGCAGAGGTCTCAGGTTCGATTCCAGGGCCGGGAGAAATATTTGTATTGCCTACATTTCTTTCTCTCGTGAATTTGGGTGTAATTTGTGGTTGTCTATGTGTGTATCCATGGCACCCGCGACACAGGGTTTCCCTAGTGCGGGGCTATGTTGAGTGTGCGCGTTATTATTATTAATTATATTCTAGGAGTCTGTGTAGTTTAAAAAAATCAAAATTACAAGAAATCTCCAAAAAATGGTGCACCCGATGATAAGCGACACCCTTATTCATTTTCACAGTTGCAATGCCTCAGAGTTTTATTTTAAAGGTGTAAGGGGCACTGCCACTGCGCCCTTAACTTTGAGACATAAGTTGACAACAATCCTATGTCTGTAACTTCACTAGCACCCTTCAAAACCGGAACACCATAATGCTGATTAACAGATATAGGTAAGGTGGTATTTTCATCACATGTGAGTCATGTAATCGACTATATGTACGGTGGGCAAGAGGTTAGTTTAAAATTTTATCACAATTACAGCGTTCAAATTCCTTTATGTGGTGTTGGGTATACAACCATATAACTATTATGGCCGTTTTGACATTTGTCCGTCAAGTTTCGTACTCACAACTACGTCGAAATAGAAAATAGAAATTCGAAATTTTTAAAAATCAAATCCAATACGATCGTTACTTATAGGATTGCTGGCCAAAACAACTTCTACCTCCGGCAAACTCGCGTCAAAGCTCAATGCAAATTGATGATATATTAAGCAAACATTTTTATTTACGTTTGAAATATAATATAACTTCTTAATCCGCTACCCCTTGCAACACTGGTCATAAATCGAAAAACTTATAGATGTGATTATATTTTTTTCGATAATGAATTAATTGCATTGATGAATTGAGATTTGACCTCACCGGTACTGTAGTTATGCCATATAAACAGTTAACTTTAAAACTACTAACTAGAATGTATTGTTTCATAAAGTTTAAAATTGTTATGCAAGAAAGACTTTGAACTACAGCTTCTGCGCACTTGGATGTTGCTAAGGACACGTTTAGCTCTTGTAGATTATCTCAATCAATGATATTTTAAGTAAATATTGTACATGATAAATGTATTCAAATGTATATTTACAAAGAGCAACACTTAGAGGTTCTTGATCATTCTTCTCGGAGGAATCTTCTTTACGAATGAGCAGTCCCATATCATTCTACGTAAGATTTGTTCATAATGCCCCTCCCTATCAACCTTTTGGTTATGCGGAAAGAGCACTATGACCAGTGCGCACGTTCTGACCCCAGATCAGCCAGTGTACAGGGTTGTCACAGACATCAGGTTCTTCGAGAAGCTAATGCCTCGAGTGAGCCGCCCCGGGTGCACGTACAGCACCCTCCCTATTTTCCAGATAGGTACCGGAGCAGTAGGCACGCGCATTACACAACTAGCAGTTGCCACCGCTAAACCGTCGACTCTGAGTCCACTACCAAATCTCCTCGCTGGTGGCGGAGCTGTAAGGCACACTCACTTCCCGACTGAAAAACGACGTCTCTCCAGTTCCCAACACCCTAAGCGCCTGGAGGGACCGGAGAATATCTAGCTTATCCTCTACTAGCTAGTGTCCTGTGACAATGTCCGGACATAGCTTCCAACTTAAAGGGTAAATCACGTGCCCCGCGCGACTCCTCGATTCAGGCCCTCAACTAGACCGCTACAAAGACGCGCTAGCTGCTCACGAGACAGACGCCCCGGCCACACCCAACCGGGGAGACAAACATGTCTCTGCAGCTAACCACAAACCCCAGCGAGTCCATACCCAAGTCCGGGTTCACCAGAGATGCCCGCAAAGGCG